TGTTGGGAAAAGATCTTGAAAGTTGTTGGGCGAGAGGCTTAGTGAGCAAGCCATGGGCCCAGTGGACAGTGTTGTTTCTCATGTGACGGACCCGGATTGAAAAAACGTTCCGAACAACCTAGTGTTTCCCCTACGCAAGCAAGCCACAAGAACAATGAGAACTCATCTTTTACATCCAGCGGGAGAACACCAGTTCTTTTTAAACTCAGTTCGCTCAGCACCTTGTCCTAATCCCTCCTGCGTCCCCTCACCATTGTCAACTACCTTGAGGGCCACTGTAGAATATTATTCGGTGGCCTTTTCACAAGGTGAGTCACTGGTGGTAGGGTGGGTCCTCACCCACCCGCTAGGGAACTGAAAGACAAAGTCCACCAGCACGGTCCTCCTGTATGTGGTGTGGGGACCAGCAGGGAGGTCCCGTTTTGCAACCTGTCCTGTGTCCCCATGTGAGCTGCTGTGGTTCATGCCGTGGTTTCGGGCAGATGTCCCCATTTGTCCCAGGTGACCTGAGGCACAGGGCCTGCATGCGTCTGAGAACAAAAGACAGCAGAGCAAAAGCCGAGGCCTAGAGGAAGAAAGCATGGACGGAAGTGTCAGGCAGCCCTGTCAGTGCGACCTGCTGGGCGGGCAGGGACATCGCCTTGGACTTTCCCACTCCTAATACGTACACATAATATACGCTGCCTGAGGACTTCAAAGGCGGATGAGGAGTCAGATTTCAGGCGCTCAGCACGGAACCCAGTCCTGGCCGTTAGAACCACATCTGGTTTTCTTTTTCAGGTGTGTCAGAACACAAGTGCTGGTTCTGAATTATAGTGGAGGACCTGATCCACCAGTGACTTGACTGGGCTCCTTTTCTTTGGGGGAAAGCACTGCTGGTGCTTAGGGAACTTTCTCCCCTTCCTGCCCCGATCCCTGCATGGGCTCTGGGGCTTCTCTTCTTCTGTGTCACCCCTGCAGACGTCTCCCTCCTCAGAACATAAGAGACGCACCATTCACGATGTCACTTTGGCTGTCATGCCAACCTCAATCATTAGATCTGAGAAGAATTAAAAGAGGGGCTGGGGATTTAGCTCAGTGGTTCCAGCACCTGCCTCGAAGTATAAGGTCCTGAGTTCAATCCCCCGGTACCAAAAAAAAAGAGGAGGCTAAACTCCATTATCCAGTAAAATGCAGCAGAACAACTAGAAGTAGTCCCAGGGGGCAAGGAAAGCATGAAAAGCAAAGCAAAGCAAAATGAAAAAGCCCCTTTACCTTTAGATGATTCAGCTCACAAAGTTAATCTGGGTTCTGTGCTTTGACCAGGACACCAGTCCTAGTGAGGTATAAAGATAAGGTGAAGTAGTTGTATTTTAATCTACGCACACCTCTAGCCATGGATTTCTAAAATGGTATTCATCTCCAGGTAGAATATTGTGCTCAAATTTAATGTGGCTTTTTTTTTTCATTTTTATATTCTGATAATTAGGCTATTTGGTGATTAGCAAAAAAAAAAAAAAAAAATCCCCAAAAGAGGATAAAGCCTTTCCTGGAAGTCCCAGAAACCCCTTTCTTTGCCCTCAGCTGGTGCCTTCCTGGGAGAGGGAGGGTCTTTGCGAAGAGCTTAGCAAGCAGCCGTACCTGTCACTACCAGGCTGCAATCGAACTGGCATATACTCTACACACCATTAACAGCCGGTGCACAAGCAGGTACCCAGGAAATGCCTTCTGCCCACTGATGGGAAAGGCCACACCAGGTGGATCTACACCACTTGGAATGATTTAGGATACTCATAGTTAATTTCAAGGCTTATATACAAATGAAAGTCACCAACAAATCAATCCCTAAAAATTCTTCTTTCCCTAAAACAGTTTTAGAGGGCAGAACACCATCCCTATCCTGGTACCAAACACGAACATTTTCACACTTCAAGGTGATTGGCCACTTCACAAAAGACTTGGGTCAGAGTTGGGAATCTCAGAGGTCAAGTTCATATGCTGATGGTCAAATTCAAAAGCTGATGATGTGAAATGCCAATCCTGGACAAATTAAGTTGAACACTACTGAAAATGTGACAAGGATCACGTTAACTGTGTGCTGAGTTGGTTTGCAAATATTTTAATCCACTAAGTTGAAAAATAACCCATATACAATGAGGAAGAAAAAAATATAAGGAAAAGAAGTGGGAAAAAGGAGGGAAAAAGATTTTTGTGCAAATAATTAAAAAAAATTAAAGTTGTTGATATCTGAAACATCTTGTATTTGAAAAAAAGGAAAACAGCTGGGCATGGTGGTGCCCTTCTGTATGATGCTGGTACTCAGGAGATGGAAGCAGGAGAATTCCAAGTTTGAGGCCAGCCTGGCTGGGCAAGTTAGCAGCGTAGTGAAACACTCAAAATAATAAAATTTTAAAAAGTTCGGAGAGTGTAACTTGGTGTAAAGATCCTGGGTTCAATCCCAAGTACAGAAAGAAGAAGAAGAAGAAGAAAAAAAAGCCCTGTACTGTTGACATTATAATAAGCATAGAATCAACTTCTGGAATTTAAAATAGAAATTATTCATGTGCCTGTTGTTCACAAATCCTATTAAAAAAAACAAACTCCAAATACTACTAAATCCATCTTCTCATTCTCTATGAGGGTTTAAGAACCACAGTTTTTATAGACAGGAGGAAAAAGATAATCATGTCCCCTCCTTTTTAATCCATTTGCAGAAAGAGGGGGAAAAAAAAAAACCCAAACATTTGGTTTTTCAAAACTGAAATAATGTAAAAGCTCTTTTTTCCTTCAAGCATTATCAATACACAAGATGAAAACATTCCTCCTTTTTTCCACAATGATTGCCCAATGGTTTCAGGACAATGCCTTACTCCAGGATTTCTGGAAGAAGGGGAACTTCCCACAAAATTCCCACGTCAACCAAAAGGGGCTCTCAGTGGGGCACAGTGTTTGTCATCAGGGCACCGTGTGTATGCTATCACGTAGCATGAAATGCTTTCCCAGTACTCCAGATTTTGAGTTATAAGGCGTATGACACATTCCTAACTTACTATTCGTAGTTGGGTTTCTTCACGTGGAGATCACACATGTGCTTCTCTAAGCATCACAGTTAAGAATGAAAGCGGGAGGGCACTGCTCACTTCTTGTCTCCAAATGTCTTAGTGCTTATGCTTGATTGATTCGTGAGCTTGGATAAATGCTATTTTCCAATAAACTGTGAATTGTATTAGACGAGTCTTGGATGAGGAGAACCACGGCTTATACTGTTAGCAAGCAGAGCCTCACTTGAAATCCATGTTGTTTCCACTGTGAAAAGCAACTTCATCCACATAAAAATAGTCAAAAAGGACTTCATTTAATTAGTCATATGTAGACTTGTTTGCATAGAAAAAGGTTACAAAGTACTGCAAAAGACTAGGTACAGTCACTTTCAGACAAATATTTAAAAGTAAAATTTTGTATAATGTTTAACATTCTCATATTTATTGCTTTCCCCACACAGCAGAGAAATGAAGTGCATAAGAATACATGCTGTGTCTTTATCTTTCAAATATAAAATCTCATGTGCTCAATTTCAATGCATTACGAGATTATTTTGTCATTAAATCCAAAAACAAAACCAAAACGTCATGTAGCACTAGTCTAGCCAAGGACAGAAATAATTTATATACAGCCCTTTGCATACATTCATCTTGGTTTGGGATCCAACGCAGTCGCCAAGGTGACCAGGGACAGCTGTTTAGTGGCTTTTCTCATCCCCATGAGCTCTCCTTGTCCCTTCACCCCCAGAAATGCCACTTCTCCCCCAAACGTGACAAGAACGATTGTTACATGTTATGGGGGGTGGGATGAAGAGGATAAATAGGCAAGAATAATCCAAAAGAAACTGAATAAATTAATGCAAACTCTTGCGAACTGGAGCGTGTCTGTGTCAGCATAACCCAGGCTGCGGTGGGTGCAGGGCGGGCAGCTGCGCCCGGTGCCCCGGGGAAACGGAAGCTCTGGGAAGAAGCACCGGGCTCCCGGCCACCCCGAGCGCCTGGGGCCAGGCACTGCAGAACGCTGTTAATCCAGGCACTGACGGAGTAGTTGCTTACACCCACCGCTGCTGGATGCAGCCCTTGGCAAGTCTGTACGCAGACAGCGAGCGGGGTGAAGGCGGTCTCAGCTGAGAAGTCGCTCTTCTTGGCCCAGGAAACCTGCACCGCCATGGCTCGCAGCCGCCTTCAGGGCCCGTCCGTCCTCACTGTGCAACGTGACACCTCAGAAGGAAGCCTTCGTAGCTGAGGCACTTAACAAACTGCATTTCCCCCGCTCCAGGGACCACGGCTCTTTTCTTCCCCGCTGCAGGACCGACTGGCGCTGCGGGTGGAGCGGGCCGTGGACGTCGGGG